TATATATATATACAATTTATACACACACAGACACTCACACACATATATATGTATATGTTTATATATATATATATATATATATATGTTATACATTATCACACAAATAGCACACAAATGTGTAATATGTTGCTCCTTCCCTCTACCTCGAAAGTCCAAACTCACCGCTAGATGGCCTCTGAATTTCCTTAAAAATCGCTGCGTGGCCACGTCCCACAACATCACGATCTTATCGTCGCCACCCGACGCCAGTTTGGTATTGTCGGCAGAGCTAAGTAACACATCGGGAGAAGGTTGTGAGATGTGATGTAGGTACGAGTGTATGTCTTTATGTATGTGCGTGTTAGTCGCTGCATATGAAGCCCACACTTTCGATACCGAGTATGCGACATAGCACAGAGACGCAGTATATACATCACAGGCGTACTAAGGCCCAAAGGGTACGGAATGCCAGTCAGATAAGAGGAACAATACACTACTCATATATGGGCGTGTACACAGTCACACATGTATAATATAGTATGGTACATTATATACATATATATATATATATATTTGTGTGTGTGTGAGTGTGTGGATGTATAAATATAAATATAAATATAAATATAAATATAAATATAAATATAAATATATATATAAATATATAAATATATAAATATATATATATATATATGTATATATTTATATGTTTCCAATATAAAAACATAATCCCGAATATCGCCATTGGGATATACCTCACAGCCTCGTGTACCGGCCCGTTGTGACCCGAAAACGTGGCAACTACCCTGCCCTTGTATGGATTGCTCAGTATCACATTGCTGTCTTTTCCCGCTGTGACGCTGTATTCGCCTTCATCTGCGGGTGTTTCAATGTTATCGAGACATCAGATAGACAGATGAGAGTTCGACCGGAACATAATAATGGGTTGTTGGCAATGGGGAGAATTATAACAAGCAAGCTTTCATATCGTTGCCATAGTTTGCCCATACGTGACTTTGTGCCAGCACGTGCTCTGTTCGGCTCACTATGTTTACACAATCCCACAAAAACACACACTGACATATATATATATATATATATATATATATATATATTATATACACACACAATATATATATATATATATAATATATATATATATATATATACATATATATATATATATATATATATTTGTAAATAGATATATATATATATATATATATATAGTTACTACTTTGAATACAAACTAAGCAGAGCCTCAGATCACAGGTAGCATACGCAGTCGACTGATAGCAAACAAACGACACAATTCCAACACATGCCATTGAGCCGCGCTGAGAGTACCGGTCCCTTGTGACACTGATAGCTGTTGACCTTCACCGTCGGTAGGGGAAGTTTAACGCCCATTGTTATACGGTTCAAGTCGAGATTATATTTATCAGTAAAGAGGTATACATATATTCAAATATGCAAATATATATATATATATATATATATAGTTTTGTGGGTGTGGTAGGGGTGGTTTTACAGCATATAGGCACTTAATGGCTATTTAGTACAGCACAGTGCGTGATGGTGCGTGGTTGTGGCAGTTGTGTGTGCACATCATACCAGCAGTCCATTAGGCCTGTGGGCGGATGCAAGAGTGTCTGTAATGTTAAATACTTCTTTGTTTACATTTGTATTTACTGTGCTGAGCCTCTGAATCAAGAGACCGAAGACATCTGAACTCTGAACTGCTGAAGTCTGAGCCTTTGAGTCTGAGGTCTGAGTGACGTATGTGAGGTTTTAGGGGGTTTTAATTTACCGCGAAATTGAACTGTCCCATATAAGGTAGCCATTTAAGCGCTGAATATACCACAGTGAATCATAGTTGGGTTTCTATAAATACACATGTCTCAGGGTTTAGGGTTGAGATTTCTATAAATACATATGTCTCAGGGTTTAGGGTTGAGATTTCTATAAATACACATGTCTCAGGGTTTAGGGCTGAGATTTCTATAAATACTCATGTTTCAGGGTTTAGGGTTGAGATTTCTATAAATACACATGTCTCAGGGTTTAGGGTTGAGATTTCTATAAATACAC